TTTTTTTTCAGCGCCTAAAAGTACGCCATAATTACAGCAGTGAAGTTAACTTCCCCTTTTATGAGAGTCTCTTAGGTAGATATTGTTGAAATAAAAAAGAAAAACTATTGCATTTATCTTAGATGGATGTTCCTTAACTGACCTACACAGCGTTTCATTCCAAGATAGAGGAAAGATCTTCATACATTCGATATATCTACATTTTCACGATATTTCCCAGGGTAAGCATGTTGTGCATGTTATGCACCAATTCGCTTTGAATATTATTCTTATAACACTACGGTCGTCTGCGTGAGCAGGTGTTGATCTCTTTTTGTGCGTTATTTTAAAATGCTTTTCAAGCGATCGCAAGACGTGGGCGGATAAGCTGACGCTCGAACATGTCTAAATCAAATCAAAATTTTATATCCAAGATCATGAATATACATATATACTTCACTGGGTCCCTGAAACTTCCTTCTGAGTTTTGCAAACGTTTTGATAAAAGAACGGAATTTCATTGCTCTCTATTATTAAATGAGAATGGCCAATCCTTCTCATTCTCGTACAAGTATTGTAGGATCATTTGTAGATTATATGTGAAAATGTACGTATGGGTCTCAATCCCAATGTCTACTAGTCCTGAACATCTTTTGGTCTTATCATTTTTCTGTTTTTTGATTCAACCTGTCCCTCCGCCTGAGCATCTTACTACCTCTTGGATTAACAATCCGTTGGTCTGATCTCCATATATTTAAGTATATTCAAGTTCAGATCAAATTTGACAAATCTAAAGACACATTGGGTCGTTGAGTAAGTACTTGCTCATCTCGAGTGTTTTTTGTTTTGCAATGAAAGTTCAATTTTGTAAAGAATCCACACGAACCTAATCGCGCTATTAACAAAGGAATGCGTTGGATTGACCGGTGATTGGCGAATCATAAGCTGCTAGTTTGTTCTTCAGTCCAATCTTTACTTGTATCTCAAATAAGCTAAAGCGAACTGATGAGATGAATCCTCCGGTGACTGGCAGGTCATGGGCTACCGTCGTGTATGCAATCTTGTTCTTCCCACCACCTGTTTGTGATTTCGATCTATACTCGCAACTCAAAGTGATGTGATGAGATGGATCACCCGATGACTGGCTGGTTAAAGACCTTCGGGGTCTACACTAGCTTGTTCTTCAGGCTAATCGCTTTTCAGACCAATCTATAAGCACATCTATCTCTATCAGCATGCTAAGTGAACAATGGCGCAAGCGCTTCTGATTACTAAAAATTCAAGTGATTTTTATAGACGAACATTTCGCGGACCTACAAAATTCACCTCAAACTGGTAAATTGCAACATTTTCTCTTTCCATCGATATTTAAAAACAATCATATAAAAATCATCCACAAAAAAATTTGCGTTTGTTTTCTCTTTAACTGTATATGAACACCACTCACACCATAACACTTCATAGCACTACACAATACCGTACATTTTAAGTCAACCATTTGACCGAAAAACAAATTAATATAAAATCATTCAAAAAAATTTTGTAAATATTTATCGTTTATTTTTTTTTTTTTTTGATAAATATTTGAAATTATATAGAAAACAAAAAAAAAAAAAACACAAAATATTAAAAACTAATTGAAAATATATATTTAGCGAAAAGAAGAACAATCGATATAAATATCTAGGTACACGTACCTTACGTACGTCGATAGTGAGAAATGTTACATTTGTCGTGTAATTTAGAATTTCAAAATTAAAAGACATTAATCAAAATTCAACGAATGACTGACTGCGTGACAGAAAAACGTTAACCTTGACTATTTTTTACATGTACACTAATATAAATGTGTATGCATTTCGATGGCCATTTATGCAACTAGAGTTCACATTCTCGGAGACCTTATTAACCGTTACTTAAATATTATAATAAATTTTCTTGCATATGCTGCTATTCACATCAAAGATTACTTAAAATTCATATACGAGGACAACATGGGAAGAAAATGTAAAGTGTAGCTCTATTGAATTATCAGTAAAATTATAAACAAAAGAGTGAATAGTTATTTGAAACCAGTATTCCACTTTTCCTAAATAATGGCTTTTGATCAATTTTTTTACGAGACATAGCCTATGATTTAATGATGGGTATTAAAACATCCGGCTGAATTTGATTATGTGCTCCCTTGTCTCCTGTCAACGCATTCCTTGCCACGTGTACCGTTTTCGGTTCACGATTAAACACGTTTCTGCCCTAAGCTTAGTTTTATAAATTAATGTGCAACGGGTGCGGCTTTCAGTACACGAAAAAATGCATTTATCAAAACTCGACTTTCTAGATTAATATGCTACGGACAGCGTTTTCAATACACGATACCATGTCTTTATCAAAACTCAACTTTGTAAATTAAGCTATTGAGACCTAAAAATTAATTGTTTTTGTCACTCTTTTCGAGGATTGTTAGAGAGGTGTACCGACAACGGTACAAGCGGCGACGAAAAATGTATATTTTCTCGAAAAAAAATAATCAATTATAAAAAATTATTAACTTTGCTAGCGTGCTACTGAGGTTATCTCTAACACATTTCATATGGTTTCGACTTGTCAAAAATGTCTTATTCAATAATGCTTTTCACTATTAACATTTATGGTTTAATCGTACACCAACATAATTGAATGATAGACGACTCCAAAGATCTTTGAAAGATTAAAGTATTTGTTAAAATTTTCAAGGAAATTCGAATAAATTCGAATCGATGTAATCGGACCTTTACGCAAACATATGCCACAAATCTAGAGGATCATCTTTAATATGTTGTTAACATAAACTTAGGAAAATAAATGTTTTCGCCATGGAGCTTAAAAAAATCCCTCGCAGAATTAACAAACAAATTTTTTAATTGACTTTCTTACTTAAATTTATTATCGAGATGAAAACCTCTAGCAAATATTGAAAAGGAAAAAAAAATCGATGAGTGTAAGATTCGCACTGCAAATACAAAATTAATGTAATTTGCATAAAGATCACGTCTTCTTAAGGTCTCCAGCAAGGGCTCTTCTTAACTTTTACCGTACATGTATGGATGTAAAGCTTTAGCAAATCCATCATATTCTGAAAAACGCACGAACCGAAGTGATTGAAGTGAAGAACTAAAATATGTACATGGAAGACCTATAATGGAATGGGGGATGGAGAAAACGGAAGTACCGATTAAATGCAATCGTTAATCTGTATTGCCACAATCAATTGCCTTTATATCAAAAATATTCGATCTCAATATTCGATGATCGCTTGAAGTGCGTTTTACACTGAATCGACATAAAGATAGATGAAGAGAGCTATGCATTGCGCAAGATAAAAAGAAAATTGCATTTCTCCACGCTAAAAACTTTTCATCTGGCCCTCGCAAGATGTGCACATATATACATTTATTAATAATATATGCACTAAGGCATATATATATATATATATATATATACATATATGTTTGCATGTATATATTCAATATTTAACGTTATTAATAATGTAAACTATTTTCTCTACTTCACCCGTCCGTCCGAAGCATATGAAATAAATTCATTCATTCTCATCCCATCATCTCAATAATGATTACTCTATAAAAAAAGAAACTAAAAGTAACGCCTCCGCTACAAAAATATACATAACAACAACAATAAGCGTACATACAAATACACCATCTACATTTACATATATATATATATACATATATATATATATGTATATTGTAAACAAGCAAAGCAAAAATAAATAAAATGCAATTAAAAATGTGTTATATTTAATGCTCGTCTTGTTGAGAATTTATTTTTTGTTTAATTTGTTGAAATTTAATTTATCGTTAGAAAATTAAACTGTTTACGTATAATTTTTTACTATTTTTATAATTTCTAACAAAGGTTATAACATTCCGACATCTGCTCAGTTTATTACACCACTTATAGCTTATGAAATTTCTCTATATATGGATCTGATATGTGCATTTACCAAAATTTTCGATCGATGTTTGCGACAATGCGTTATTAAACTGTATCTTAAAATCCGTAATTTTATAAATTTTTAACTACCACAGGTACGCGTTATTTATGGGCGCATAACGCCCCATTTTTAAACTTGATTTGTGCACCTACGCTAATAACGCGGAGGTTGATTTTTTTTTTAACCTTTGAATAGGAATTCTCTCGGCCGAGAACAATAAGAGGACCGACGGACACGGCTAAATAAACTCGAAATATTAAATTAGTCAATAATATGCTTTGAGTGTGTACATTTTAAACGAGAAATATCTAAAGCGGGTTGCGAAGGTCTGCAAATAATACATGGGAGAATTTCTTTTATCATTATTATCGCGGTCGGATCGATTCAATTTAGTTTTTGTGAAGCCAAGGAATTTTAATTTAGTTACAAAGACATTCAATTAAATTAATCATATTTGCAAACAACGGTTTAGGCAAAAAAAGCAAATAAAAATTCTTTTAGGGAAATTTTCAATATAATTACGTTTAAAAGAATGAAAAACAAAAACAAAGGTGGTGAAGTGCCAAAGACTGGTTATCGCAATTATTGAAGAATTGAAGAAATAAAAGCCATATAGTGAGCCACGACCTACCATTACACACCCTACGCCATTTCGCTTGATACAATCGTTACACATAACGATTTTTCAAGATAAGGCACTATATGGCAGGTGATCGATAAAAGTGATGCGATCCGAACAATTTCCAATATCATTTAGCCTTAAGGTAAAACCTGTCGGTGTACCGAATTTCATCATAATACTTCAAAGTTTGTGATCCGTGGGCTGAACATGTAAATACAAGACGGATGGACAAGCATAGATTGGTATAAAAAAATGTTCGTCCGCCCTTCTGGATGTCGCACAAACTGCACGATACAGTTGACTATGACATTGCCTATCTTCAGATTACCAGTAAACCAAACAAGCGTAGTAAGTAACTATTATACGCCACTCTCTTAAGGAAATCGAATATATCCTTTGTAATTGGCATTATTCCGAAAAACAACCACCATATGAGCTTTGTGGTCCATATTAAAAGAAGAAATGTGAGATAAATAAATACGAAATCCTTAAGGCACGGCAGGCGGTAGAGGCGCTGAGAAATGCAAAATGCTAGAGCTAAAGAAAAAAAATTTTCTCACACATCACCTCATATTACCATATAAATGGATTTTAAACTCCCTGTCTCCTCTCTACCTAAAATGAATTTTAATTTAGAATTAGATTAGTTTCGTTTCATTAATAAAGGCAGTTCCTGTCACACATAGAGGAAGTCTATTATCATGCGAAAATTTTTTTGAACATCAAGGCTCTAATGAGTCATTTTATAAATCTTTCTCTGTTTTGCTTTGTCTTGCCTCAACATTGGACAAGACCAAGCACAAAAAAAAAAAACGATTGATTGAGACCCGAGACCGATTTCCGTTGAATGTTGGAAGCTCTTACTAAGATAACTTTTACGTACCTTATAATGATGCCACTGCTTCATTAAATGATCGTAGCACAATTGACAAGCTTGTATCATCCCCCTGGGATCCATTGGACGCGAACGTGCTGGCCTAGGATGTAATTCATTAAAGATGGGAAAACAAGGATGATCATCACTTTTCTGATCTTTTGAAAACATGATGCTAATCTCCATTAAACTTCCACGTCTTTGTTCCTCCCCACAAGCGTAACAAACTTCAGTCGCTGAATTTTTATCGGGCATAGAGAGATCTAAAATTCCCACTTCGACGGCTGGAACGGTGGCAGTTGTCAATGTGCTTGTATTTAGATGCGGCGTTGTAGACAACGAGGGCTGTGGTGGCGGAGGTATGGAATTACTCCGACTTACTGAGGTATTGCGCAAATCCAAAACATCATCTTCCCGTGATGTGGGATAATCGGAACTATACGGACTGTGCGGACAGACTGCATGCTGCTGGTGATGATGATGCGGTGTTGAACTGAGACGACGCGCTTGTTCAACCGGTGAAAGAGCTACGTTCGATTTCGTTGTTGAATGCAAATAAAGTTCGGATTGTTGATGGGCTTGAGGCGTGTAATGCGTTGTTGGCGGTGGTGGCTGTTGTTGTTGTGGTTGTTGAGCATTGTAATTGGTGTGTGGTAAAGCATTGGGATAATTTAGTTGTCCAATTTTTAGTTTATGATGAGCATAAGAAGATGGTTTGATATTTAAACCTTCATATACCGTCCCAACTGCACTAGCAGGTCTGGAAGAAGGTGAAGTCAAATGGTGATGCGGATTTTGTTGAATTGCACTTGCCTCGCCCCTTGATTGTGGACGTCCATGATGAGTAGTTTTTGGCAACGGAGAACTTCGCGTATAGTAGTCTTGCTGTAATGTTAAGGCCGGACTAGGCGAACCATTACGCGATGTAGATGAATGGTGAAAATGTGGTGACTCGTTACGGTAGTGTGACCTCTGCGGATGGTACGAATTTTGAATATCACTATAACCGCTCTGCGTTAAATGTTCAGCACTTAAGCCCAACATTTGGGCAGCATATTCCCCTTGAGTTGCAATATCGGCCCCAATGTAACCTTTACCGTCTACACGTTTCATATGATAGATACGTTGTGAATGTGGTCTTTTCTCCCGCTCATACGCATCCCATTGCTCGTTTAGCGATCGATAACACAGCATGCATGTCAACACATACATTTGATTATTCGTAACTTGCGGCACCCCTGTGGGCGGTTCATGACGCTCCAGAAAAGGAAAATAAGGATCGCTCGGTCTTTGGTAATTAGCACGAATGCGTATATGCTCATAGCCGCCTTGACCACCGCATACATAGCACAAGGGTACTACTTCCATAAGCTCCGGCCCAACTGAATGATGGCTGGTAGGCCTGTGGGGTGATTCAATGGCAACCGATTGTTGTGGATGGTACTGATGCGGATAATAATGGGCAGTCGGAGCGTAACTACTGTAATGCTGCTGAGGTGTTGGCGTTCTGCAGGGATTTATTACATTGCCACCTGCAATAGGTGGAGGTTCAGCCGGCGGCAAACCCCCTGTGCGTAATTCATTTTTTATATAAGCTTTGGCTTTTTCCATCATTCACAGTAGTTACTGAAACCTGAAAAGCGGAGCAATGAGTAGAAACAAATATGAAAATATATTCAATTATGCTGTGGTATGTAATCAATTTTTTTGTATGGCATTGTACCTTGACCTAAATAAAGTCCACAACTGCCAGATGGATGGATTTCAATGACACTATAACGGAGGTGTCGTCGCCTTAACGTTTACCGACGTGTTACCAAGAAAGTTCACGCAACATTGAGACAACTAAACAATTTCGCTTATCACTCATTTAGGCACTTTTGTTGTTGCCGTTGCATACGCGGTTATTTCTTTTAAAAATGAAAGATGACGACGACGTTGTTGTTGTGATATCGTAAACATTTGTAAAACATCCAAAAATAAACGAACAAACTACAATAGCCTTTTTAAAGCTAAACAGTACGCAAGTAGTTAAACAGAGCGCGAGATTTCTGCATCAATAGGCAAACATACATAAACACACATATGCATATACACAAAAATTGAAAAATAAAAAAAAAATAAAAACAAAAAAATTGCAACAAAAATTTTTTTATGAAGTGTTTGTTGTTGTTACAGCGTGTGTGCATTTGTTTGTGTTTAGTTAGCTGCATTGAAAAAAGAATAATAAAATATGAAGACAAATGCCACCCGGAGAGTAAAGTTGGGGAAAATATGTGAATGAAGTATATATGTGCATAAAAACAAGCAAACACCGCCTCATACAGCAATAAGAGTCCATGTATGCATAGAACCGTTGTAAGGGCCACAAACAAAAACCGAATACCATTTAATTTAATACGGCTGGAGGGACGATGCACATTTCTATATATTAATAATATTGTAATTAATCAGCACGAGAAAAAAATTTCAAAATTTCAAAATTTCAAAATTTAAAAATCGACACACGCATGCACACACATGCAACACAACCATGCACCAATATGCTTTATACAAATTTTTAAAACCCACTTTTCTATAAACACACAACACAGTCGTCTTCATTGTAAAATGTCGAGCAACCAGTCCACTAGTTAAATATTTCAACAGTTTTTATATATATATTTATAAATGTATATACACACACGTATATATATATATATATATATATATATATAAAATTTCTGGTATATTTTAGTGATGGTTAGTTTTCTTTGGAGGTTGCTATCATATTTTTATAATTATTGAATTTTTTAGAAATTCCTGACACGAACATAATTTTTTTTTCATTTTTTTACACTCACTTTCTTTTCGTTTTTGTTTCGTCACTCACGTTGTAGATTTTCTTTAAAAATACTTGTAATTTCTTAATTATCAAACTGCTACTGTTACTCTAAATGTTATTAAAGATTTTTACATAATTTATAATAACTTCTTTATTATAATTTACAGTTAATTAAAATTTATTTACTAAAGTTTTTCTCTATTAAATTCTTTAATAAAAATCTACGTTGAACTTTTTTCATCGGAATTATGGAACAACAAAGAAGATTGCTGCAGAGCGCTGCCACATGCCGGCAGTTCGTCCTTGATTTTAGTGTTACCAGTGTTTTAAATTAAACCCAGAGTCGTTAACATATCCCATCAAACATGTTCAAGTTTATAAAATCAATCTATACCAAAAACCTAAACCATATTTCTTATCTTATATGCCATTGATTAAAAGAGAAACTTAAAAATATATGCTAAATATAAAATGCAGAAAGAGAAAAAACTAAATAAAATAAAATTTAAATTATATAAAATTATTTTTTTCCTATAAGGGCTTATGTATTGTGATGGCCCTTATTTACATTAGACTCTAAAAAATAGACTAAACTTTACCTGCTAGTAATTTCGTTGTTGAAATGCTTTAGTGGACCAATTTTCATCACAATATATTAAAAAAGAAACGTTTTTTTGATGGGACTCGGGCCCAAGAGATATATCCAAGTATTTCAAATCACGTGGTCTAAATTTGGTCAGGACGATTTCTAAGCCAATTTACTATTATGAATCGATTTTCTATAAAGTATTGAAATTTATACCTTTGTAGCATATAAAAATTCAGCTTTCGTAGGAGAAGGGGTTCAATATAGCAATCAATCAAATCTTCGTATCAATTTGCAGTCTCGAAGTACTATTACAACTCAAGTTTTGTCGAAAAATCTTGAAAATTCCATTTTTTTTTTTATGTAACGACTTTTCAATATAAGGCGATATATGGGGAGTGGTTGAGAAAGTGAATCTACCTGAACTAAGTTCTACATTGTGATTCTTTCCATAAATTAGGTTCTATATTGTGTTTATTTCCACAAATTAAGTTCTACATTGTGATTCTTTCATTTGAGACCTGGAGGTTGAACACAAAAATACATGGACGGACACTAGACGAAAAGGCAGACAGATCCATAGGCAGATTTCAGAATCAGGCTGGTTAGAGCAGGTAGAGAAGAATCAGGATTATGTTCTGAATCGATCGGTGTAGTAAGAGGCGGCTCCGTCTCGTTTTGTCTTGTGGGCTTCCCTAAGTTTGTCTGTGCGCCTATTTCTCTTGTTCTCTTGTGTTCAACCTGTATTTTTAGTATTCGGAAGCGTGTTGGTTCAAAGACGAACAGACGCCCGGATCAGACCATTTTTCCGACCACTTCCCGTACAACGTCTTGTTTTGAAAAGTTGTTATATGATTAAGTGGAAGGATTCATTTTGTCAAAACGCTTCCAACGCCCAGAAGGGATCCAGAGATAACGTCCATATATTCTCGATAAGCAAATCCTGAATAAAATTCTGTCCGTCCGCGCAATATCTGTTGTAAGCATTCTCCTGGCCGCAATAATGAAGCTAAATATAGCAAATTGGGCAGAAACCATGAGAGCTCTTGCACACAGGCCGACATTGAAAATGGGTCAAATAGGTCGGAGGACACGCCTATAGTACCACGTAAACTAAGAACACCTCTTTTTTTCAAAAGGGATGACAAATTGTGTTTTTGCTTGTTGCTCGTAAACTAAAGCAGATAAACCTACGAAAATTTGGACGCACATAGTATGCTGTAGTACCTGCAGGAAAATGATCATGCCTACTCAATATCATAATGCATCAATATATGATTTTTATTTCAGTGCCGTTATAACGCGCAGAAGCAATCTTCAGAATCGCCACAAAATATATAAATTCTTGACGAGTTTCAAATTCGGAATGCAGGTAAGCATATCTGTCCGCTCATCTATCCGTCTGCCTAAATGTGTAGTGTCCGTTATAAAAATTCTTGCTTTCGCAAAAATGAACATATCATATATAAATTTGCAAAGAAATTTAGGAATGACCCAAACTTTTCAACGCAAACGACTACAACGGCCACACGCCCATGCAACAGAAACTGTGGATACTTTTGCTTTTCGCGGTTTTTCGCGGTTTTTGTTTGTTTGTCTTTTTTAAGATAACGTTGACGGACATAAAAGATTCTGTCACGACTGAATACGATTTTCTTGCTTATTTTTTTACTTGAATTTAATAACTTCCTCGTATATAACTGTTTCATTGTCTTCCTCTGCATCTCAAAGAAGTTGTCGAATGTGTGTGTTTTTCTTAAACTGTCAGAATTCTCCGTAAAATTCTGGCCTCTAACTTTATTATCACGTCTTTTCTTTCTTTTGCAAATTTTCGACCCATCATCCAACCCATCTGAGGACATTTACTCACTTGACGTCAAAAAGTGAACTCGAAGAAGAAAATTAATTTACTAGAAGTGATCCATGTGCTAGAATAAGCAAGCATTGGCATGTTGACGGGCGTGGAAGACGAATAAGTATGAAAACTGAGTTTTCGAGGTCGTAACCACTTACCTTAGAACCTGAGTTGCAGCAACCATTCTCCATGTGTTTCCAAAAAAAAATTAATAGACAGCAGTCTTCTCATGACTCTTTTTGCACAAAGGTCACACCGCTACCCCTATGTACGTAATTGTTTTAACTTGTTTACAACACACAGATCTCGAGTCTAGAACTTATTTTGCATTCATATGCAACTGGCTTTGAAGTGGCCTCTATGTTGACTGCCGAAACGACATATTGAAGGTTTTCCTGAGACAGTTTTCTCCAAATAAGTATGCAAGTTTATTTCCATCTGATCTCACTTTAAAGGTCATAGGGATTGCATATCAAAACTGATCTTATGAAGATTTTGGCATTTTCCGATTGCTCGGTGTTCTTATGCCTACTATCGAATGAAGCGAGTATGTTCATTTTGTCAAAATGTTTGCAACACAAACAAGGTAGCTTTAGAGACCCCACAAACTATATCGATCTTTGATCAGCATCATTGTTCTGACTGCAAAAGTTAAGTTATCGGCCTTAAATTTGATGGAAAGTTTGAAAGTCCTTGCGCGCAGGCACGGTCCAAGTCGGTCGAAGGACACTCCCTCGAGTCGAACGTAGGTTAAGGGCACTTCGGTTTTCTAAAGGGAGAAAAACTGCTGTTTTGGTCATTACTCGCAAACCACAGTCGAAAAACCTACAAAAATTTGCAAAAAAAGGGAGAAATTCGGCCGGGCCTATGTAATGTTACATCGTATCAATATTTCTCTTTTTTGTCAAAAATTTTATAACGCGCAGAAGTAGGCTTCAAAAATCCCCTACAGAGTGTGCATTATTAATCACTGTCAAATTCGTAATGCACCTAATCATGTCCGTCCGTCCGTCTGCTGGACCGTGCAGTAGCTATGACAAATTTTTTTAGGTTAGCAAAAATGGGGCTATCGCCTGCAAATTTGGGTGACTGGCTACGATCAGGCAAAGGACGAGCCTACAACGCCATACAAGCTGCGAATTTTTTTTGTGGACATTGTGCTCGATAAAAGTCTGCACATATGTTTAATGGAAATGGAAAAAATCAGTCACGCCCATCAAATATTACAGAGAACGTATATGTACTTTTTTTGTTTATTTTTAGTTTTCTTATGGTGGGTATAAAAGATCCGGCTACAGCTGAATATAATTGTAATTTGTTTATTTTTTTCCTTGTTAAAATCTGGACGCATAGCTTTGTGCACATGTTTGGCAAATTGCCATGTCTTGTAAAGAATAACTGTTCTTTAAGTTCTCTGCCTGAAAACTTACTTTCAAAATATTTTAATATTTTAATTTGCTGTAAACTGAGCCCACATACATTTCCCAGGTACTTTTTTGACTTGTACTTGTACTATGTACTTGCTGTATATATATATATATATGCATACACACATGATAGTTTTTGATTGTGCTACGATGCAATCAAAGGTTAGGACGAAGGGGCTTTACTATTTAAGCTTGTAACCTTGGACTCAGTTGGATGAATAAAGATACATTCATGTTCTGATTTCCCTATAAAATCAACCCGATCGGAATATTTTAAGAACGCAATTATTGTTTATATGCATTAATTAATTTATTTCATTTTTCTTTTTTGCTTTTTCTTTTTTTTTTTTTTTTTTAATATTATTCGGCATACAATTGCACATAATCATAAAACTAAGTTATGGTTTTTTTTTAATTTTGCATTGTTTGGATTTGTGTTAATAATTTAAGATTTTTAAATTAAATGTTTATTCAATTTGTTGTTCTTTGTTCAAATTACACTTTAAGAAAGTGTGTAAATATAAACTATGCGAATACAAACACACATATATACATATATATGTACGCATACATATAACATGTTATGTATATATATATTATATATATTACATTATATATAGACTATTATATAAATATATATATATATATACATATATATATATATATATAGTATATAAACAGTAAAAATAAATACTTATAATAATTTATAAACAAACAAGTTAAACACGCAAGTGAACGAATGAACGCTCAGCAAATACAGAAAAATAAATAAAAACTTATTTTAAATATAAAAAATAAAACAGAAAACAAAAAGAGGTTAAAAAGCAACGAGCACATGAAAAATGATTTATGAAAGGCGCGCTGAGAACAAACGTGAAAGAAAATTTTAGTAAGTTTTGTTAAAACTTAAATGCTACGTTAAGGAATTCAAGTTACAAATCGTATATATTTATATATATATTATTTGTTTTTTTTTTCTGAAACTTCAATTTAAATTTTATATTATTTTAATGTTTAACTGGGCTCTCATTTATGTAAAGAAACTCTTTTTGGCTGCTGATGTAAATATTAATGTTTTGATCCCGTTTACAGTTAACTGGTGATTGATTGTTGTTGTTGTTTTCCTTTGCATTCTTTAATTATTATCAAGTTATGGGTACACAAACCCATTCCATGAAACGAAAGAATAGCGAACAAAACCAATTCTAGGCTGCTGAGGTTACTTTACTTCCCTCCGAGCGTTGCTGTTGTTGTTGATTGTCGTTTGACATAAGATGATTGTGTTCGCTGGTAATGGGACTAGGATGTGTACGTAATTCGGGCGGTAAATAGATTTTTACAACATTAGTGATGTTAACACGACAATTGGGACAATTTTCACATCTGTAATAATTAAAAGAAAACAAGAAGGGCATAAGAGACACTTTTCTTCAAAATTTGCAAATAAATTTGGAAACTTACCTAGCAGCACATTGATCGCAAGCCATAACGTGACAGCAAGGATTAAACATTGTATTAATGGCGCGATCCATGCAAATTTTACAAGTCATAGCCTCTGAAATACGTGTATCCACGCAACGTTCAATGGCCGCTTCGCGTTCCTCCTTTTCACGTATTACCAAATCCAATTTACTGGTCATGGATAAGGCGCCATCTAAACTGACACCACTACTACAAGAAGCCGAATCGTCTGACGTATAACCACCGGCTGCGCCGTTACCATCGTTTACAGCACTAACTAGTCGAGGCAAAAGTCTACCAAGGTCATCGGTTACCGTTTCACTTTGTACCGAAGTTTCTATGCCACGTTCATGAAGAACACGTCTCGCCTGATCGTGCACTTCACGACTGGTTCGTTGTATATCAAATACATAACGTTTACCCAATTCCGTGTCTTCTTTGAACATGGAAGCTATGGTGCCTTTGAGATCACGTGTAAATTGATTGGTTACAACGCCGCGAACTTTATCGCAAACATAGAAAGCATGTCGCTCCGTTATTGAACGGTATAAGCCAGCTGCAATAGCATGCTTAGGTAATTTAATCTCAACTTCTCGCCGATCATTATGATCATCAACGTATTCCAGTTTAAAAGTACGACGAAATGATTTAGCAGCCGCTATAGCACTGAAAGGAATGCTGCAAAGGGAATAAAAGAAATATTTTTTTTTTAATATTTTCTTTTGAACAGAAGCATTCTTTTAGCGTCCACACCTTTAGGCATGTACATATAGTTCTAAGCTTTAACAACATGTATCAAATATTATGGCCGCTATTTAGACGAACAAGGTCCATTTTCCAACTAAGTCAATTTTTGCGATCATGCGGTCAAAATTAAAACAACGGTAGATTTGATTTCGTTGTTCCGCTCTGTTATCCTAATTAAAATATTTATGCCTTCCAGTGTGTCTACAGGATATTTAATGTAATGTGTGACAAATGTTTCTACTGGACAAACTAATAATGTTTGAGGTCTGCTCATTTTTGAAGTGTTTAGAAGTGTTTAAGACAATTATATAATTAAGTTGAGGCGAACACGTTGCCTTAATAAATACCTAAATTAACTCATCATCTTCGCATGAAAGTCTTTCTCTACGCCAGCAAAAAAAAATATACGCACGTAAGCAGAGAATGACTCGGTGCTGTATCCATATGTAAGGTTATTATATGAGTAACCGTTCTAGGCGAAGTGATGAGGATACTTAATAGCGGGCATTGCCTACTACACTGTTTTCGGAATATTTCCCAATAGTTTTTCTTTGCAGAGCAAAACCGGGCGATCGTGACTACAATAGGCTTGCCCTAATTGAAATATTTACCTCCTCTCGAATCTGTGTTGGGCATATGACTTAAACTTTTAATGAGAACATTTTTTCTGCTAGGGCGTATTTCTTCTTACTCTCAAGTTGGCTTATAATTATCTACTACAATCTAAACCCCGGTTAAAATTCCCTAGCTCAAGTTTTTTAAAATTGCGGGATTTGACTAAGTTGCTACAAAGTATTTCTATTTTGAGGCATCAGCGATAGTTTTTTTTCAATTTGAAAGAAGTTTTTACAATTTGAAAGATAACATGATGTCCTTTTGGTATTTAGTAAAAAAGTCATTCTAGTTGTGTTAAAATGGTACGGAAGGTAGGTTTTTCTGGATGTATACAACACTTAGAAGGGCTAGACTCGATTTTTAATACACCAATTGATTCAGAATCAATTTTGGATCGATCTAAGCTCGTCAGTCCGTCAGCCCGTCCTTTTTTATTGTGTTCAACCTACAGGCTGCAAATTTTTGATACTTCTGATCGGATCGCTTTTTCGATCACTTTCCATATAACGCTTTATTTTGCAATATAGTTATATGAATAACGATGGAATACTAATTTTAGAAATGAGTCGCACATATCACGAGCGGCATAAAAAAATACAAATATGCATATATCATGACTTAAACAAAGGGCTATTGTCAAACGATAAATGATTTGCCTAAAACAAATGTTATCTCTTCTTCTTGCCCCTTAGCAAAATATGTTTAAAATAAGCTTTGCTTTTGATAGCGGGGCGGTAATGGAATCTTATAATAAACGTAACTCACTTATTTATGCTATCTCCTATTGTCACTTTAACACCATGCGCTCCAACGGCTATATCACATCGTATCGAGCTTTCATTGGCTGTAACGCCACAGAAAATCTCTTCACCATAACCGACTAGATCTTGGATTTCTTGTAAAAGCCAATATTTTGCTGATTTTGCTGGCATTTTTAGGGTAAATAATTTTCCATGTTCGACAGCGATTTGTCGTAAAAAATCATCAGGTAATTCCGAGTTTTGTTCGTTAAAAGGCCGAATCAGATAGTCTTCATAGATTCTTAACGGTGACGATATCAATAATTTCTCAATAGTTTCATTATCATAGGCAGGTGAAGTATTGGTCGTATTGGCGGTAGACGATGATGAGGATGTATTATTGGAATTTGAAGAATTTGAACTGGTTTTGTTATCGTTACAAACTTTGGTATGGGTTTCGTGGGAATAAGCAGCACCGCCGCTATTAGCCGTCGCCACCGCTTCCAATGATAAACGCGAAGTTGAGGTCAAGGATAAACTATTGGCTGCATATGAGGTAGATGCCTGGCAATGAACATTTTCAATATTTTCCACAGATTTTTGCTTCGATAAGCGACGCTTTTTAAAGGACAACACGTGCTCTTTATCTTTGCCAGTTTTATGTGAACATTGAGCATGTTGTTGCTGCTGCTGTTGTTGCTGTTGTTGTTGTTGTTGGTGTTGCTCTTGTTGCCTGAGTTTTTCTTGTTCTTTACGTATTTTCATCGGACATTCACACTTGAGAGATGCTTCGGTAAAACGTATACCATCCGCTTGGCACATTAATGCCGCCAGCTTGGCGGCATTCGTCCAATTCCGAGCATTTAAGCGACCTTCAAGTAAATCAACTTTCGCTTGCATATAAAACAAGTTACGAGCGCTCTCTTGCAATATAAAGTGCACGGGTACCCAGAATTTAACGCGCAACGCTAACATTAATTGTATGCCACTGCCACTACTATCACAGGTTAAACGATTACGCAAATTAATCCATTGTCGTGTACGCGACTCTTTTTGATTCGGTGACCAATGCTCTAAGCCGAAATATTCCATTTCACAGATAATACCCAAAGCCTTGCAAACCTAAAAAAAAGGAAAATAAATAAATAAAAAATTATTGAAAAAAAAAAAAAATATATATATATATATATAGCCGAGAAAATCTTCAACTGCTATCAAGGTCAAAAAGCAAACGTACGCGCACACAAATTAAATGCATTTAATATCCTTTTGCAAAATGTAGGCAAACAAATGTTTGTAACGGAATAAACGCTATGAACACAACACTTATCACAGTACACTGTCGTAAGCGTGCTTCGGATAAGTATCACCTACCTACCAGTCTCCTCCCCCGCTCATTTGCACACACACACACATGTACACACACACACACACACATTTGTGTTTCTCTCCAACAACAACCTTTTAAACACAAGCTCTTCTAACTTTGAAAATCATGAAAACAAGAATGAAAACAACAACAAGAACAACAACAAAAGAAATATCAACAAAGTATAAAATTATCAACGAGTTATTTAAGTGGTTCCCCCCTCTAGTAGGATCTTATCTTTCATTTTTTTTCCGTTTTTTTTTCCTTCTTTTAGTACATTTCTCTTTGGAATATTTTCAAAAACTAAACATGTGAAGGCTGCGTTCTACAAATCACATAATGTGGTGGTTTTGTAAAACCATAATCATAATCATAATAATGCTTACTCGTTGGTACTGAAGCTGACTATGACATGCCCAAGAGTATTTTATTTTATTCCTTTTTTTGCCATAACCGTAATAGAGCCTATCTATCGAAAGTGCATCCATTCTAGTGCTAGAATAACATCAAGCACTGGTTGTATTACCGCAATTTAAATATCAACAATGAAAAAATCCAATGACACGATAACATTTGTTCTAAAAAAAAAAAAAAAAAAAAAAAAAAAAGATAAAAAAATAGAAGCAGAAGAATTAAGGAAAAACATGACACTATTGGCAGAGCTTTATGGCGGCAGGCGTCGGCTTCGAAATATTGATGCAAAAAACGAAATTTCAATTTAATGGATTTTTCTTGTTTCTTTTTTTCCCACATCATCTTTTAAAGCGTCGTCTACATGCCTTGGGAATCAAATCGAAATGTATTTTAAATGATACGTTATGACAGCGACATTTAATTATTGTAAATGGAGCGAAATAAAATAAAATCTTTTTTACGAAATATTATGTTAAGTGAAAAACTTACAGAGTGCGGTACACCTTACTGCAGAGCAGAGAAAGAGACATTAGATGGCTAAGAAAATGGAAGCTTTTTATTAAGTAATCAAATGCAGTCTTGATTTCCGTTTCGAGTCGTTTCTCAATGTAATAACGCTATCTATAACTCTATAGAGAGGAGTAAGACATCAGTGTTTTGAAAGAGTAAAGGAGTCATGCAGCAATGTTCCGCAAAGCAAGAGACGTTTTTCTTTTTTAATAAATTATTTTCCAGTTTTGGGAGGATAGCCCAATTCTTTCATTAATTGGTTGCAATGTTCTTTGGTTTCTTCTCAAGTCGAAGTTGAGTGCTCTTGAAGCGAAGAAATTGGAAATATTGTGGTATGATTTTTTAGGACGTATATCGTGCGTGGCAGACATGGTCCCCACACATTTTCATCTATTTTCAAAACTAGAAAATTTTTTATTAAATTAGGCTGACAAAAGGGCTGAATTTTGGTCCACTTATGTTTCAATTTTTTCTACATGTAAGGTAAACAAACCGTGAAGGCGACCAAAAATTAATATTGTATTCCTTGTCTCCGTTCTGCAATCTTCTCAGAGCATACTATCTATGCGATGCAGGCTATACTGAATGCACATTGCCTTAAAATAAACGGAACACTGTCAACTCATGCGAAATCAACAGTTCATGTATTTCGTATTGAACCCACAGATGACAGTTTCTGAGATACACTGGCCCACAACTTTTTTTCACTTATTCGTGTGAAATAATGACGACCAGAAAGAAGGGAAGAAAGATTAAGAGATAGGGAGGTGGCCGAGTTCTGCGAACAAAATTCTAAAATTATTGCATAAGAAATGGTAAAAACAATACTTTTTTACAATTGTGTTCACACATGCGACCTAACGCTTATTGAAAGACAAAAACTCATGATACGTAAAGACTTCATGACATGAATTGTTTAAAAATCGAATATGATTCACATATTTTCGAGTTGTGAAAATGATAGTTTTTTTTATGGCAGTTTACGTGCAGCACAACTTCTTGTCAATATGCTTTCTTCTTGTGTCGTAAATAACAAAATTAACTGGATCCTTGAGTGTGCTAAAGCTTATCGATGCAAAATTTTTTGATAATCGCTTAAGAGTGTATTCGCAATAGCAGAGATAAATATGTCTCGTCTCTATGATTATTGTTACGATATCGAAATCATTAAGTTTAATATTAGAAGTGCATATATGATACCAAAATGATTAAATATTTATTCATTATGCCCTATACCACGTATGCAAGTTACAAAGATGTAACAAGTTTACGTGGATGTATGCAATATCCAGAAGGACTTGAGATAATACTCGCCCTTTATTACACCGATCGGTTCAGACTCACTTTCGAAAGCTTCACTGACCGTCTGCCTATCCAGAAAGGCTTGAGGTAGACCCACTGTTTACTATACCGATCGATTCAGACTCACTACCTAACGCCTGTCTACACGTCTGTCCGTCAAGGAGGACTTGATTTAAACCCATCTTTTACTCTAGCGATCGGCTCAGAGTCGTTTTCTCAATTCATTTTCTAAATCGATATAAACTTGTCAGTCTGTCCGTCCGTCTGCTGAACACAAAAAGCAACTAAACAGCTTTTTTCTTATATCAAAACTACAGGTCGCAATTTAAGGGATACTTTGCTGAAATTTGTTGAAGGCTATTGAAAATAGTTCGGATCGGAAATTGTTCTTTACATATATTTAAGGCATGAGAGAAAAAAAGCGCTTATTTACGGACAAAATAACGGGTAAGTAAAGTACGATAGTGCCATTTATGTGATCAATAGAAATTCAGTTATTTTGTGTTACATCCAGTGAATACTTTGAGATAAGCTTGTAAGAGCTTTTAAATCAGTTTTATTTCAATTCTATTTTTTTTTATCTTTATTTTTCAATTTATTTCACGTTCTTTTTTTTTTTTTTATTTACACTTATATTTAATATTAAAATTCTTTTATATATATATATATATATGTTGTTTTTTTTTTATATAGATTTTCATAAAACTTTCTCTTTTACAAGAGATGAAAACATGGAATTGGAAATAATCCAAAAAATTGTGCTGAAAATGCCAGAAATGAAAAAAGGAAATAAAATAAAAAAAACAATTTATAAAATGCATTTTATTTTACAATGTCCTCCATAAATTCAATAACCTCAATATTGCTCAACATACATTTCACCGTAATAAGCAGCAGCAGCACCAGCACATAAACTGAATGAAATGTATTTTCTTTGTATACTAATTGATCATATTTTAGTCGACTATGAAACAACGATTACAGAGGAGTAAAGATTATAAAATATCTGAAAAATGTTTAATTTATACTTAATTTTTTTCGGGAAATCATTGAAAAGTTGTGACTATGTCGTATTATAATGAATTCATTCACGTTTTTCATTGACGTTTTCAAGTATACACTTATGCTTTTTTTGATCAAACTGATCAGAAGCATAAAAAATTTTAATTTTTACTTTCCGCTTCGATTTTTCCGGGTGTTTTAATAAGAGTACGTTTAAGTTCAAGTTAAATGGCAGGCAGATAGATATGAGTCACCTTTACCAAGTCGATGGTTGCACATTCTCATGTCTCGCGTGCTGTTTGACTTTACCTGGTCGTTGCCGTACTGGATGTTGAGATGTCGGTAAAGGCATAACATATACCGATTAAGCACACATCGACTCGGCTGCGGCCACCCTCTATCTTTTTCTCGCGCTCCCCACTTCTTACACGTTTAGGAGAACTGCCTTGGGTAATTGATCGAAATTGATTAGGCATCACTAACTCTCTGTTTCCACTTTTCAGATTTTCGTCATCGGACAGCGACTTGGACACCAAATTTTTTTTCACTTTTTATTTTGAAATAATCGATTGCTTGGAAACTTGTAAAATACTTAGAAGCTCCTAACCTCTTTTGATTCAATGTAAGCGATTCCGTACAAAAACACAAAAGTGATGAATAGAGTCATTAGGAGAAATCGCAGTTTAGTTCAAAATTTTTCTTCTTTCTCTAATGGAGAAACAGTGCAAACATATGCTTAACATGAAAGGAGATTCTCTTCATCGCACTAGGATCAGTAAACGCCACGACACAGACGCTGAAATTAATTTTCTTTTTTGCTGATTTAGTTAATTCATTTGAGACCGTAACAAGTTTGATATCACTTTAAACTGGAATTCATTATTTCTTTGTCATCAGTTTATTTTGGCATACCTTCTACAAAATTAGTGGGAAATAAAAAGTCTATACATTTAGCTAAAGAAATATAAAATTTATTGGTTTCTCTTAATTGCATCTAATAGATTGGTCATCCAACTTTTCCTCAACGCGAATCGTGTCATTTATAATATGTAATGCTAAGGTCTGGTTAAAAAGGATATTATATGGACAAAAAGTGTCATCATTATTATTATTATTATCATAATTTATTCTGACTAAACAAATAAATTGTAGAACTTAACGTGGCACTGATGAGCGCTAGTAACCAAGTTTCAGGATTTCCTGCAGAAGACATCCATTAAAGGTTAAGCTTTTTCTAACGATCAATATTAGACCAATTGGAAAAGATCTTACGTATATGTATTTAGAGCTTTGAAACATCCCTTAGTCAATATATGTGACATTGAGTTGTGGTAAGAAACACCTGTGTCACATATATGTGCCGATTGGTAGCGAGCAGGTCAGCATTAGGTTCTTTAGCCATTTTCAAGACGTCCACAGGCTTAAAGGCTCCCAATGCAAACTTTCGAGAATAGGAAAAGTTTTGGCATTCGTAAAGTGTTTGCTGAATCGGAAGATTTAGTCCCCCAAAAGACTTTAAAAGAGAAATTGAATTATAACTATTTCTGATCGCTTGAAATAAGATGATAAATAGTTAACTTCTTTCCGGAATTCATTAAAGCTCGGCGCTTTTGTATTCTTTTTTTTAAGGATTGGTATTATCGCACTAAAAATACTTCAGTTTTTTTAAATTTCTATGAACGCAAACTAAAGCAGCGCTTTTCCATGTTCTAAAGGTAGATTATTGCAAGGGCATTTAGCGCGGTGCGTTGAGGTACGAGGTAGCATGTCATTTAACGTACGTACATCTTCTGGCCTGCTTAGGAGGAGTGACCGAGAAGGTCAGGAAAGCTAAGAAATTAGTCGTAATAAAGGTTTATTTCTTGGACAGATCTCTTTGATTCTTACGTGACAGAAAAAGCCATCTTTTTATACCCACCACTGTAATTGTATTTTTTTCATAACTTATGTAACATCCAAAAGAAAGCTTCAGAGACGCTATAAACTGCACTTATTCTGGATCAGCATGAAATTCGGAGTGGGCTTAGCCATGTCTGTCCGTATGCGTGTCCGTGCCTCTGTGTATTGTTGGCACTCTCTTCGTCGCGAAAACGAACACATCCATCTCGAATTTGTGTAGAAACATTGGAAAGTATTTGCACGCAGGTCGGTAGTGAAAATGGGCTGAATTGGTCACAGCAGAAAGACGCAGTGGGGCATAAACTGGACGGAATTCCGTTTTTCTTAACAAAAATTTGTGAGTTTTTGCTCGTTTCTCGAAAATGATTAAAGTCAGAAGGCTGAAATTGTTCTCGTTTACTATACGAAACACTCTACTCTTTATGTCGAGAAATGAAACAATCGGTCATGCCCACACAAAGTTACAAGCAATTAAATTTTATTTTTTCGCTTTTTGAGGTTTTATTCTTGTTTATCATAAGGCAATGATCCGCCTGAGTAGCCGAAGGGGAGAAATCTCGACTAGCAAGTCAATGGTCGTGGGTTCGAATCTCAAGTGCGGTAGAGTTTTTAATAAAAGCCGATAGCCTTAGATGCTAGTGCTTTTAAGAGTTTAGTCTTAGAATTTATTTCTGTGGCGAAATTAATAATAATAATAATAATATCATAAGGCAAACTAGACAGAATTGTCTAAAACTATCTTGTGCGCACTCCTCAAACGAAGATATATAGTCTTCATAAAAATAGGTTAATTTTAAAGGAATATAGTAGACACCACGATTATTTCTTCGTTAATAATACCAGCGATATGGGTATTAAATAAAAGAGAACTTGGAGACTAGAATGTGAAAAGCATAGTGGTGTGGTGGATATACGAGGTTCGGTCCCGCCCAATATAATTTCCTTACTTGTATTTCCTATGCTGGGATAAGAAACAGATTTGTTGAATCGAAGCAACCTTAGGTAAATTTTATGTTCGTTTTCGAATTTACTCACAAAATTTTCCCCGAACTTAACATAGCTTTTTAAGTAAAAAAAAAAAATTTTTTGTCTATGGGAGCCATCAACATCTCCTATATACATCAGCTAACTTTAGTATGGTACTTTCTCTAGATTTCTTGAAATAATTTAAGAGTGTTTAAGTTTCTTATGCAATTTATGAAGGATCGTCTCCACTCAGGCGAAATCATTTGTAATAAAAATGTCGAATTGGACACAACTTCGCTATTCTGTGCAAGGGCATTCTATCAGAATTAAATCCTAAGAAATGTAATTAAAATGAATTTTGATTATCTTCACGAAAACTAAATCAATAAGATTTCCGTTTAAATTTATAAACCAAAAGATTGCTAGGATTGCTTTAAATGAATCCCAGTCTTCACTTAGGCTGATGCTATACATATACATACTTTCAAGCTAAACTTGTCAGGTATGCGTGCAAAACTTGCTGCTTTTGTAACGAGTGTAAATAAGAATAACAGCAAGCGGTTCTACTTCTTTTTTTTTTTCTACTTCTTAATTACGATTACGTGCAATACAACACAAGCATGATTAAGTGGTATTCCTGCATAGGAGCCTGCAAAAGCTTATTTATTACCCTTATTACGTTACGTACAAATGAAGTGGTTCAGCTTGTCCTTATGGGGAATGTATATAAGTCATGAATGATGACAATAACCTTTAAAATGTCACGTATCACGTTGTATCATTTTTATCGGTAGATAATCATAACCGCAACAATAATAAAGACGGTAAGGCCAAGAATGTATATCCCACACATGCACACTCGCAATCATAGAAAAAAGAAAATTATACCGAAGTGGGAACAAACGCCAACAAATTTTACTCAAATGCTTATACATTTCGCTTTAGTTCGTTTGGTATTTATAGGCTTCAGCATTATTACAATGCTAGTGCTCTCCTACAGCAGTAAATTATTTTCCACCGGCCTTAATTTATTTTGTAGAGAAAAATAAAAAAAAAGCTTAAAAAAAAAACCACATTAACAACAGCCATTAATACGATCACTCGTAGAACGCGTGCCATTAAGCACGTTACGTTTTCAAAATGTAATGATATAAAGACAGAACGAGAAAGAGGGAGAGAGAGAGAGAGAGATAGAGAGATAGCGTCAGTATATACGTATAGATAAAACTAAAACAAAATTAAAGAAAGAGAGAGTAAGGAAAAACTATACAAAAAAAAGCCCAATAATTTTTTTTTAGTTTTTATCTTTGTTTCTAAAAATCGATTTACCCTAAAAGAAAATTATTAAAGTCGTATTATTTTACAATTATCTGTGGACATTAAAAGAATTAATAGCAAAAAAAAAAAACTATATGTAAACAAACTTCTCTAATAACTTCCTATGACGAGCGAGTTCACAATGTGAATAATTTTTATATAAGTAACTATACAATGAACGTATGTACAGATGTATGTATACAAATTTTAATATACATATCTAAACGTATGTGCACGCATTCGCTACACATTATTAAATTAAACACTCGGTCGGTGTATTTATTTACGATGACGATCTCAATGAAAACAAACGTGAGCAACAGCGATCAAAGTCCACATTTTGTTTGGGTCGTGGTCCAAAGTCCAAATCAAAAAACAAAACATGTTTTCGTGTTTTTACGTTCACGTATAAGTGAATGTGTTGCGTGAGCATGTATGCGTTCATGTGTGTGTTACACTGCTAATACATTCTCCCTAACTAACACTATCTGACTTACCTACTCAAACTATTTGGTTTTATCTCTATTTGGTTTTTGTCTTTTTTTATTTTGTTCCTCTCTGCGAAGGGGGGACTCTTTTTTTTTTTTTTTTTACATAAGCTCTTAAATTTAACATAAGCTATTGAATTAAATTTACAGTTAAGTTAAGACATGAACATATTCATTCACTCACTCACTCACTCACTCACTCACCCACCCACCATTTTCCATTCTCCTCTCCGATAAAATAGACTTCTATTCAATTATCATTTTTTATTTATATAAAACCATTACCGTAAATTGAAGAGATGCAGTAGAAAGAGTTCACTGTTGATTAATAATTCTCTTCTCATCAATCCTCTTTTTATCTCTCTCTCTCTCTCTCTCGCGCTCTCTCCCTCCTTTTGGATATATAGTTTCTATAAATGGCTCTGTGCATTGTATCATGTCTGCTAAGCGTGCAAGCAATCATCATTTTACACAAGCAATCCACATTAAAGACATGATACACAGTCGCGATCAGTGTATGTAGATGAGTTTGCATATCTTTTTTTATATCGGAAAAAAAGTAAAAATAAAACAATGAAATACAGCTGTTTTCCCGTAATAGTCTCATTATTAATTTCAGAAAAAGAAGAAATAAAATAAAAATCCTTACGTTTTCCTAAGAAATTTTTGCAAGCAAAAATAATTATTTAAAGCGAACCTGGTACTATTTATGTAATTAGATTTTAATTGTAAGATTTAGAGAATAACATCATTTGAAATGTAATTAAAGTTTACGATCGACGTTAGCTTGTCAGCAGTAAGATACAACGCAGGTTTGACGTGCATTAACTTGGAAAAAATAAATAAATTTTACAATTAGAAAGTTTTCTCGAGAATTAGGCAAAAAATATTTTTTGTCCTCTGGTCTTGTCGGCAAAAATCCAATCTTTTAAAATATCTGGTAATATCTTTTTACCATTTTTTGCAGATATCGTTCAATTAGTTAGGAATCAGTCATTCGTAAAAATTGCCTTCTCGCTCTTCTAAACATCTTGATCTCGATAAACTATTTTCGATTGTACTCTTAGTAAATCAAAATCTTCCACTTGTGGGCTTGTCAACTGCTTTTAATCGCAAAAACATTGAAATATTGATCAACCTTTTATGTTAACTTCTTAGTGATAACCTAATCGTACTGCGATTCAGCTATAGGCTATTTAAGGGCATATTTTATTCAATATTGTTTTCGCTCCCTCCATGAAAACATAGGCCTGTTCATCTAATAATTCTTTTACTGCATAGATATTTTAACTTTTGAATTTTCAGAAAAGAAAAAACGAAAAATATTCTTCGAATCTGTTTGCTGAAGTTTGTAGTTTCTTTTATTCATGTCTTTGTATTTTGTAAAGGATCTGGAATTAATGGAAAGCTTTTTATCTTAGGCCCGGTTTATCTTCTCATGACTCAATGATTTCTAAGTAATTAATAAACAACGTAGCATAATATAATAGTTCCCTTACGTCGAAAATAACCGCGTAACAAAAGATCGATCATTATCACGAGAAAAAAAGAAGAAAACATATAACATAATAAATATAGCAATATGATATTTAAAATAAGGTCACTAAGGAAATTTTAGAATGAAACCGGTTATAGCCTTCTTAAACTGAAATACCTTTCGAGGTTGTAAATATAGTAAATGAATATAGCAAATGTCAACTGGTCTTTACTGAAATAGTTGCAAATAAACAATAATGGTACTAATGAAATGTATACCATATTTACGGGTACGAAACGAAAATGAAGTAGTATTATTATTCAGTGACTCTCTAAGCATTTTCACTTATGCTATAACCGAAATCACTTTATATCATATTCTTGAAAGCTAAGAAATATTTTAAGGATTTCAAATATTATTTACTATGCATAATTATAACCGTCCCATAACTAGAATCGTCCTATTTAATTAAAACTTAAAATGTATGTCATAATTGCGGACATGAAAAAGCTAAAATATAATGCCTATTTTCTAATAGAGAGAACAATTTTACGGCCATTATAAGCAAAATTTTAAATAACTTAAACTCAGTTTTTTTTCTTTTTAGGTGAGAGAATTTAATCGTGCGACGTATTTTTCTTGAAATTTGTATTAAATGATCAAATTGTTTTTGTCTAGCAGCACGATTGACAATAAGTAACAACCTGAACTTTAGATAGTTATAGTAATATTCTTCAATAAAAGTAAGTGCATAGGTTTAAAAAGTACTAAATCTGACTCATCCTGTGATTAGTTTGGGATTTTCTTAGCTGTGAAATATCAGAAAAAATAAATACTTAAGCAATTATATGAATCAGCCATCTGTCATGAAAGTTCGTTTTAAGCGAACTTTTCAAACAAAGTTAAGATTGTAAAATGCAAGTTTCGTTCTGTCTTCATGCGCGCACACACACACACACTCACACACACACACACATACACACACATGTAAATATGTAACTTTTGAAAAGATGTGTTTTCATGGCTACATTAACACCCACGCCTGAATTTTCATTATGCCCGATTTACGTAAACTTTATAGGGAAATTCGACAAATGCAGAAGGATTTTTCAACGCATTTAAACAGGTGAGCTCATAAATCATTTGATGAACTGAAGTCATCGTAATAGTCTAAAATAGTGACAAGAAAGAGCAGACAATTCCGTTAGTAATATTTACATAAAATGATATACAAATTATAACTAAAACGTTCTTTTAGTGCATAAACATTTAATCCATTTCAGTATATCGTGGAAGCAACAACATATTTCACATCAGAATAAATATCTACGTAGAGATGGAGAGTGGGAGAGGGGACGGGGACATTTGGACATAACGTTTATCAAATCGCTTTTAAGAATCGTTTTAGGTTCCAGTCCACTTCATACCATTTCACAGGGTTGCAATTCACACAATTTCATTTTACACGATTGCTTACGCTTATCCAACGTCTTTGTCGACCGTGTAGGCTAAGATACTTTCTCTTTTTCCGTACATCTCTAGCTTTGTTGTTATTCTTCCCTTTGCTTGTTCCTATTGCGAATAGCGATCACGCTTCGTTTATTTCAAAAAACTTTATCTCGTTTTGCGTGTTTCCAAACGTAAACTAGAATTCTCAACGATTCTTGATTGAAAACCCTTTTGCTGTTTCTAAAATTTCGTGGTTTTGTTTTATGCAATCATATCATCTGTGTAAGTTGAAGCATATGTGTAAATAGGAGATGAAAAAATGTTAAGAAAAGTTTAAGTTTTACGCTTACTTGCCTATAAAAAAAAAACCGTATAAAAGTTAATTTGTATAAATCGTTTTGTTTTAAAAATTTTCATTTTACCTCCCTTGTTTTTTTTTTTTTGATTTTTTTTTTTCATTTATTCACACATTTTACCGCTGATGTCATCAGCCGTACCTTTATCTTAAATAAAAGAAAAAAATATTCGTTTTTTTATAAATGTAGCAAATATTGTTTTCTTATTTGTACAAAGGCATAAAAAAAACTCAAACAAGCATACACATATACGCATACACACATACACACACAAACACAAACACAAAACAGCTAATATAATAAACTTTGTTTTTTTTTTTTGCATCCATGCCGCTAAAATTCTACAAAATATGTGCATATATGTGTGTGTCAGTTTGCGTGCATATAAAGATGTGAGTATATGTTTTTGTTTGGTTGGACTTTGGACCCGTTGGTATTTCATTTAAGAGTTGTTGTGCCGCAAAATAATTTGTATTATTGCTGCTGTTATTACCCCCTGTGTTGGTTGGCTAGTGCTGCTCTGGTTGCCATGCTACGGTCCTATTATTCACATTACTGATGGTGACATTATTGTTGTTGTTGTATTTATTTCTCTTCTTTTTTTTTTTTTTCTTGTTATTTCTTATTTGTTTATACACATATCATTATGGCTGTTCCTTTGCAGGCTACAGCGCTGCTGTTATTAATTGCTTCTGCATATATTTTTGATAAACTAAAAAATATTGAGCTTTACATTTTAAATTTGTGAAAGCCTGAATGTTTGCGAATTCTCATATATTAAAAATTTAACATTTATTTTTCACTTTTCATACGATCACCTTAAAGCTCAATACTTATAGTAAAGTTTAAAATATATTAACAAAGTATTACATAATCAAATAATAAAAAAAGCAGTTAGACCGCTTTTCTTCTGCAATAAAGAGAACAAAAAAAATAAAATTATCAACAACAATAATACGATCATAACAAAGCATCAACATTTTACATAATGAAAAGATATACAAATGCCCGGCATTAAGGGCACTCTTTAATTATGGAGAAGTTAAGTTTTTATTTATTCTATAGATTTTTTGTATTCATTGCCGAAGAAAAAAGGGTACACTAAATTTTTATTCTTTTGTGCCAGTTTACCAATAAACAGGTTCCATTAGAACGAAGATTGTTTAATTGGTAGATTGTTTAAAATTATTAATTAAGCGGAAAATCAAATTTTGGTTAATTTTTTCTTTTCGTCAATTTGCGCTTGTGCACCCATTTGTGATATTTGATGCTAATAAATGTTACTTCTATTAAGAGCGTAATATTTTTTAGACATCACAATGTCTATATGCATGTACATATATATATATATATATGTATATTTATACATTGGTCAATTGGAAACTTAAAGAATATATAGTTTTTTGAGTATGAAGTTTCACACGATATGTCGATCCGTCCGTCCATTTATTGACTTGCTGTCTTTTAGTAGCATATTATCTTTCTTTTCTTTTTTTATATTTAAAAAATTATATCGACTTTGCATTTTATGCTTATATTAGTTATTCATACCAAATATGTTCAGTAAGTATTCATTGGACGTTAGGGTCTTCTGGGGAAAATATCCACCACACGACACTAAGAAAATCGTTACATATATGTGAAGTCGAGCTGTGCTAAGGAACGGCTATATCACACATATATAGCGAATCAAGACGAAACATTCACAATACATAAAACAAAAAAATTATACTTATGTATAGCAGGTTATGAAATTCAGTAATTATATTTCATTATCTAAGATTTAGAAGGTCTTCACGATTGTTAAAAAAAAAAAAAGATTACCGAGATATTGATGATGATGATGATTAATGACGCGATCGAAGCAATCTGGCTACTTCACCAAGTTTACTTTAGCAAGTTAAGATGTTCGTAAAGAGTGTGTCGTTGGGCTTATATCGACAGGTGTTAAAATAAATTTTACAAGAACACGATCACAACTCTTAAGAAGCTTGAAACAGTAACGGTTTCACTTTAAGTGGATTAAATTTGTTTACTGTTTAAAGAATTTATGCTACTGAGCTACTAGCGGATACCAGATAAACAAACGGATTGGCTCCATTTCGCTCTAAATAGTATAGAGTTTCTTGTTGTTTCTACAATGAAAGCGGTTCAGACCTGAACACGATATAATTTTTCTAAGATATAAGTCGCCGACTTTTAAAGAAACACATTCTTAGCCAAGTCGAACCATTCGCTGATGTGAT